AGCTGATTAACTACTGACATGCCTTGGCTTTCTCATCCAGAAATTATGGAAACAGGGTCTGTCAGTGGCAGGAGGCCGGGCTGTGTTTTACTTGGATGACACAATGCAATTTACTTGCCTATTCATACCCATGCATGCTGCTCACCCTAGACAATGACATATAAGCCGTATATAGATCAATGTCCACATATATATACACACACACATATATGTATAAAGCGTTACAAGGAACACTAAAACAGTGTTGATTCTTGTCTCTGAAGATGAGTAATTAAACCTTTTTTTTTCCCAACTAAAGAATGGATTTAATTAAACTAGGTATTGAAAAAAAGTAGCCTAAGTGTTAGAGATGGTGAATATATTCCATTTTAGTTTAAAGAACCAATTTCCTGAATTTTAAGCATTCAGTGAGCTGCCAATTTTGATTTTGTGTTGCTCTTTACCCAAATTATGTTTTCTTTGTTTTTCTTTTTTGGGGGGAGGAGGGGGAAAAAGCAGCAATACTGTGTTTGGAAATTATACTCTGTATCTGGCTTTCCTGTGTATGTTAACCACTTAAATGTTATTATCCTGCTTTGGTTTTATAGTGATTGTGAGGCATTCAATGCAAGTATACAGTTATTTTCTCATTAAAATCCAATGTGTGTTGAGTTTTTATAAATAATGGCTGCTTGTTTGACCATGAGGGAGGGTGGAAGACTAGGCCAAACAGTGGCACGCCAGCGTCCTTGGCCGCTACTGTGTGACAGCTTCTGCTTCCTCATGTTTGGAACAAAGGAACCAATCCGAGCTGAGGGGACACTGCTGCACCAGGCTGTTCCCACAGTCCCCTTTTCAATGCTGTCCCCAGCCACCCTGGCTAGATGCCAGAAGCTGCAGGTGCCTCTTGAGGACATAGACTCGAAGCCACAGCAAGAGCTGGACAAACAGCAGGATGAACTGTAAATTCCAGCCTTGCCTGTAGCTTTGGGCTCTAACCTTTAGAATACATTCTGAGCACCTGTATTTGGCTCTCCTCTGCAAGGAATAGCTGATGGCTACATGTTGACATGAAGGACTCCTTTTGTTGTATTCAACATAAAGCCCCTTTCCCCAAACTCTTACTCTGGTTTCTTTATTTTCCTACTCTTCTACCCCCAACTCTTTTTCTTTTCTTTCTTTTTCTTTTTCTTTTTTTTCTAGAGCTTTATTATGGTATAATTTACTTAACAAAATTTACTCATTTCAAGAGCATGCGAAGACCACAGGTTTATCAGGAAGCATCCTCACCACATTTCCGCCTGTCCTCCCTTCTACTTCCTCCCTCCCGCTTCAGTCTCTAGCTCCTCCATCCCATCACTCAGCCCTGGGCCCCTGGCCCCTGACCATCAGTTTCCTGGTCTTTCCCTCGGCCCCTCCTCTTCCTGGTACTTCCTTTCCAGCTGCCTTTTTCTCTCTCTCCCCATTTGTAACTCTTCCAGCCTTTTTCTCCTCAGGATTTCCAACCATATATTCCTGTTCTGAGCATCTGGGGGTGTTCTG